GAATTTAGTAATTAAGGAACCCAGTTGTTTCCTTAACTAAACTAGCCGTTGGTCCCTAACTAAACTAGCCGTTGGTTTGACTTTGTTTACCATTTTGAATGTGCGTTTATTCAGTACTTATGTTAATTGTAAAATCTGTTAACAATTTTATTAATTTGTCGAATTCTACATATATTTCTCCCCAAATTTAAATTTTATTAAATGATGACGTGTCTTTAGAAATATATATTTATATAAAATATATAATCTTTTTTAAGATTCAAGAGTCAAATTAATTTTTTTTATTTTGAAATTTTATCAGAATAAAATGATTATAAAAAATGATAAACAGTTTTTGGAAAAATAAAAAATAAAAAAAATAAAAGAGTCGATAGTGTGTAACGTGTACATAATCACTGCCATCTTCAGTTATGAAGAACAATAAGCTCATAACATAACTATTGCCAAATCCGATCTAAACTAACTTAGAGCTTGTTTGGTACGACTAAAAAGTCAATTAAAATCAGTTTTTTGGTCGTTATTTCACTATTACAATCGTCATTTTTGAATTCTTCTCTCACGAGTAGGACCTTCTTTATCTCTAACGATCAAAAAATCAATTATCAAAATCTCTAACAAACGAGCACTTGAACTAAAAACATAAACTGAACTTGAGCCGAAACTCAATTCCATGCCCAACACAACCCAAACGACAGAAATACAAACCCAGCACAACGCCCAAAACCAGAACCCAAGCCTAACAAAATCCAAATCTTACTGAAAAGAACCAAAACCAAACTCGAGCCCAAACTCAATTCCAACCTAATACAACACAACCCAACCCAACCCAATTTGATACAATCCTCATATTTCTGTATAACTCTCATGTTCAGATTATTTATTCAACAATGACAACTTACCGGTTAAATCAACAACTCAATGATTCAGTGTATTTACTAGATCAATATCAAGTCGAGTTTGAAAACTATGACTAAATAATGAACACAAATTTTATGCTATTGGACTTCTAAATATAAAATCTAAGCTAAGGTTTGGTATATATTTTTTAAAGTTCATTTTTTTGACAAATTTATTTTCAATTACATTTTCTCTCAATAAAATAATTTTGCACTTGAACTCATAATTTTTCCTTAATTTTTAACTATATATTCTCCAAAATTATCACTTTTCACAAAATCTATTATTAAAAAATCTACATCAATCTATTATTGAAATTTCTTGCCAGCGGTACAATCGAATCTAGGAACTCGAGGCTTTCGAATATGTACCCGAGTCTAGATTAATCAGAGAAATGGATTAGTGCGTGCATAATGATTATTTTAGCCTGAATTTCACAATGTTTTGTCAAGAAAATGTCTCTAAATCATCTGTCTAATTCTTGATATCTGTCTGATTGTGGGAATCTAAAACTTAGAAGCAAGTTGAAGGCAGTAAAATTTCTCCTCACAATCTTAAAATTCTAACTTGCAATAAGTAGAAATATGCTGCAATAATTATGCCTCTTGGCAGCCTTATTAAAAAACGAAAATAACTAAAGCAGAGTTCAGAAAGAAATCAATAGATTGGAACACATTAATCACAGAAAACTGAACCTTTGAAAGTTCAAAACACTAACCACAAAATTCTTTACATTATAGAGAGTAAAAATCATTGTCTATTCAAATTTACATCATCAAACTACAGTAAAACTTGACTTCTTGGAACCTCCTCTGTTGAATCGATTTTCATCAACAATTGGTTTGGATTGGGGAATATCCTTAAAATCCAAAATTTTTATATTTCTTTTCCCCTTGTTGATACCAACACTCGTCTCCTCGAACTTCCTTTTTGTGGCCTTGAACTTTACTTCATCCAAACTCAAACCCTTGTTTCCACTTCTTGAGTCAATTTCATGCTTCGCATCTTCAGTTTCGATTTTTCTCTGAAATTTTTTGCCTCTATCCTTATTTTCTCCATCAAAAGCCACGGATTGAATAACCCCACAACCCTTTTCCTTGGCGACAAGATTTATGGGTTTTGAAGGTGCCGACGTAACTCCATCAAATTGATTATCAAGATCTTATTATATTTAAGCCACGAATCTATCACTAAATATAATAAGGCCACGATATTATACAATTTATGATCACAGTTACGTATTAATCATAATTACAGAACTCACTGTCATAAATCCAAATTTTATACCTCACAACTTATTTTTTTGTCACAGATTATCAAATAAATTGGCTAAATATTATTCAGTCACAAATTATACAGATAACAATTTCTTTATTGGTCATAATTTATCAAATTCATAGTTCAAGTATTATTATTGATTACAAATCACAAAGTTTATTGGTCATATATTATTTTTCGATCACAAATCACAAATTTTATAAATCACAACTTATTTTTTCATGATCACAACTTATTTCTCGATAAAAAATTATTAAATTAATCTGTCACAATTACATATTTAGTCAAAATCTCGCATTTTTTAAAGTTACATATCATTTTATTGATCACAATTATCTATTCTATCATTACATACTATTGATCGCTAATTTTAATTTTTCCTTTTTAATACATATATTAATTAATTAATTAATTTTTTCAGTTTGACTTCCTTGGCCCTTTTGTTTTTTCTGATTCTGGTTTTAAAAACATAGTGTTTATAAAATTAATTAGTGGAGCAACTTTCGCATTCTGACCACCTGCACATCACAATATGTGGAGGATCAAATTTCATATTTAGAATAATTAGAGGACCTGATTGCCCCTTTGAAATGAAATTGCTCCTATTAACTAGTTGGATGACCGAATTGCAATTTTGAGTGTTCGGAGAAACAAATTGTCCCTTCTATGTAGATGGATGGAGGATGGATTCTGACCTTTTAATTAGTTCAAGGAGACAAGGACCAAAATTTTCTTACCAAATTGTAGCACGACCGAATTGCTCCTACTGCGTAGATGGAGAGACAAATTGTACCTTCTACATAACTATTGGCAAACGATTTAGCACCTTTTTATTAGGGGAGGACTACATAATTATTGGCAAACGGGAGGAGCAAGTTAGAGTCCATGTCGTGTATGATGTCAATGGAACTCTAATTGAAGTTCTTGTCCCAACTTTATGGTAGGTCATCATTCCTTGGGAACGTGAGAGTCTCTTTTCTTTGTATGAAGAGGACCAACTTGCTTCTTCTAATTAGTTGAAGGACCAAATTGTTGCTTCGAGTGGTTTTAAGACACAATTAATCCCCCTAAATAGTTGGAGAATGAACTAATATTGTTTGAATAGTTAGAGGAAAAACAATTTCTCCTGAATAGTCGGAGGATTAAATTGCTACGACGGATTAGAGTGAGGACTAGTAGGCCCTATTGAATCATGGAGGACCAAATTTTGTCTTCTAAATATTTCGAGCGCCATATTGGGTTTACTGAATGGTTGGATGACAAAATTACTATACCAAATAAATGGAGGAGCACCTTGTATATATTTAATAGTTTGAAGACCAAATAGCTCATAAAACATTGAGGACCACATTAACTCTTCAATATAGTTAGAGGGCCAAGTAGCGTGTTTGAATAGTTTGAGGACCAAATATATTATTAATTTAGAGAGCTACCTCGTTCTTACTAATAGGTGGAGGATCAAGTTTCTGCTTATTCGTAGTTCACATCAACCGAGTAGTTAGATGACTAATGTGTTTATTCTGAAACCCAAATTTAATGCTGAACGCAAATCATGAAAGTTGGCTTTTGAACAAATAAGTATTTAATCATCGTGTGGCTACATCATTGCCACTAAGTACGGCCAAGAGAACTATCTCGAAGTAATATTACGACCATGAGCAACAAAAAAAATTCCAAAAAATAAAATTATGAGTTGAAATACAAATAATTTGGGCGTAATTAATTGAACTTCTAATGAAAATAAGTGTGGCCACCATCTAAGTAGGCAATGTGGCAATATCTTACATAAATTTTTGGCTACCACAAGTTTTGACATTTCGCTTTAGTTGATTTATTTTGATAATTGGGCTTGTACAAAGATTGAGGTTAACAATATTTTTATAGAAAGAAGTTACGAATTTAGCATATATCTTTAACCATCTTCAAGTACATTCTTGTAAAAGTACAATTTCATGTAGGCTTCTTCTTGAGTTCAACCAAACACTTCGAATTTATCAAACTCTACATTATATCGAAGCAAGATTCAAATGAGTCAATCAAAACTCTAGGAACCAGACCACTTTTTCCTCTCAATTGGTGGAATCCTCTCCACCTTTTGATCTCCATGCTCAAACACCTCTCAAGTTTACCAATACCAATTTCTCTTGGAACTTTAATATCATAATCCATTGATAGGTTATGATCTCTTGGCATTTATTGATGTCTTGTGTACCTTTCCATCTACTACTATAGTAAAAAATGGCATCAAAACAATTTAATCCTCAATATTCCACTTGGATCCCCTAGGAACTTATTTTGAACAATATTATTGTGTATCCATCTCCCCGTTATCGTTCCATACACAACTTCTACCACATCAGGAACAAGTAGGACAACACTTGCAACCACACATCTTTTTCCAACTCTTATTTTTTAGCAATAGTTAGAGGACCAAGTTTCACATTCAAAGTAAATAGAGGACCAATTGCCCCTACAAATAGTTAGAGAACAAAATTGTTCCTATTAAATAGTTGGATGGTCAAATTGTTGTTTCTAAGTTGTTGGAATATGAAACTGCCTTCTGCATGGTCGGAGCATGAATTCACTCCTTTTGATTAGTTTAAGGACCAAAACATGCCTGCTGAATAGTTGGGGGATCAAAGTGCTCGGGCCGAGTAGATTGAGGACCAAAGTGCACCTTCTACATAACTGGAGAATGATTTAGCAACTTTTGACTAGAGGGAGGACTAACTTGTTGATGATAAATAGTTGGAGGGCCAAACTGCTTCATCCGAATAGCTTGAGGACCCATTCAACGGAATGGTCCCCAATCTTCTATACGAAATCATAATCGAGGCTTCATTCCAACAAATCGCATCTGTCAAGATTTCCATCAGTTGAATGCCAAAGTGAAATTGTTCCAAATCGATCCCGAAATCGAAAACCCTCCAGATTTATAATAAACCTAGATTCATCCCAGAAAAAGGACAATCAAATTGAGCCATAATATTGCCAAACTCGTGTTTTGATAATGAGGATTAAGAGAGACCCACAATGTCGTTAGATGATTGGCAACAGTAAAGTTGATGAATTTTCGGATGTCATGTATAATATTGTGTCCATAACCTTGATTTTTATATCAGTAATTGAAGAATTTATGGGCTCTTTGTTGATGTCCACGTTATTTCACGTTCTTAGAAGAGGACCCACGTTTTTTTAGTATTTTTAGGCACTCTTTTATGAATCTTAGTTAGTTTCTCCTCCAGTATTTAGTTAGTTCATCATTTACGGTGGCATTTAGGTACTGCAATGGCTGTTGAGTATTAATTGTTTATATTCTAGCCATTTTTAGTTAGTTCATCATTTAGTAAATGGGCATTTTTAGGACTGCATCATCATATTTAGTTGCTTTATATTGAGGATTTGGGCTTCATGAAGATGATATGATCTAAATTAATGTCTGCATTTCATTGCTTGAAAATCTCTGAGGTTATATAATGTGTGTTGTGACCATTCCGTTTACCTGTTGGATTGTAGATAACAGACTTGAAGAAGATGAAGTGGTAACTGGTGAATACAAATTGACTGATTCATAAGATGATGTTAATGACGATGATTTTCATTACGATAAGAATGAAAATGCACGGATTTTGGTTGGATTAAATGCAGATCATACTGTCAATATATTCACTGCTCGAAAGGACAGCCATAACAAAAAAACAAGAAAAAAGGTTGCTCGGGGATCAGTTCCATATACACCACCAAGAATAAAGAAAAGTTTAGCAACTCAGTAGTACATCAATGTTATTTGATGGCTATAATTTAGATTATGAAGATGATAAGGTTTTGAATTAATTTTCTTTTGTTGTGCATCTGACTGAAATTATGTTTTGTTGATGTACAAACGAAACTAATTATGCTTAGTTTATGGTTGACTGAAATTTTATATTTTGGTGTATAGTTGAGTGAATTGGAAATTTGGAATACTTGGTGTATAACATTCTGGTGTGGCTGAAGTTTTTGTGACAGGTGTTATACAATTCTGGGAAATGCAAATGATCTGGTGCCTCTGATAAATTATGATATACAATTCTGATAAATTATGGCATCTGGTGCCTCTGTTTTTACAAAATCATCTCCACTATTGTTGTTAAGTAAATGCAAACAGAGTTTATTTCCTGAACTTCTAAAATGAGGTCCTACTGCAGAATACATGGGAGCTGTCCATGCTGATGCTGCCCAGGTTCAAGGTCTTGCTTTATCCCCTTCTTCGTTAGGTTCATAAGGGAGGATTCTACAAAAAATCGACACTGCAATAAATCAGAGACAAATCATTTAATTAATACAGCTACCAAACGCCAATGACAAACTACAAACTACACATTCAAAAGACCCTACCTAGTACTTTTTTCCTACAATTCCAATCACAAACAACATCCTACCAACTAGAAGACATAAATTTATGACACGGTCTTCACTTCTTAGGATTTGCATCAACCGCAGCTGGAAATTAGGATTTGAGTCAACCCTCTCATAAGCAAGTTGGATCTCCAGGGAAAAACAAGAACTTGAATCAACCACAGATTGGAAATTCGGTCTCTTAGTAGGATGGTTGATAAGAAATTGAGAAAATTATCAAGGGTAGATGCCAATTCCAATAAGGAATCCTCTGTTTCTGAGCAAATCCCAAGTGGAGAAATATGTTTAAAAACACGAAATGAACTCCACTTGAGGAAAAGGAAAGCTGTTTCTAAAGGATAAGCCCAAGGTAGATTCATCAACTTCAGCTAAGGTATAGCTATTTTGTCAAATTTGGGTGAGCAAGTGTTGGTGATTTAATTGACTCTCTCTAAATCATCTAAAATTCAGAAGCAAGTCAAAGGCTGTGAAACTTCTCATCAGAATCTTAAAATCCTAACTTGCAATAAGTCAAATAGAAATTTATACTAAAAAACATCAAATATGCTGCAATAATTCTGCTTCCAGGCAACGTTTTTAAAAAAGGAAAATAACAGAATTAAAGTTCAGAAAGAAATCAACAGATTGGAACACAATAATCATAGAAACTGAACCTTGGAAATTTTATTAACACTAACCACAAAATTCTTTCCATTCAAGAGAGTAAAAATCATTGTCTATTCAAATTTACATCATCAAACTACAAAATAAAAGAACAAGCACATCAGCGCCTAGATTTCTTGAAACCTCCTCTGTTGAATCGATTATCATCAACAATTGGTTTGGATTGGGGAATATCCTTAAAGTCCAAAATTTGTATCTTTCTTTTCCCACTCTTAATATCAAGACTCCTCTCCTCGAACTTCCTTTTCGTGGCCTCGAACTTTACTTCATCCAAACTCAAACCCTTGTTTCCACTTCTTGCGTCAATTTTATGCTTCCCATCTTCAGTTTCGATTTTTCTCTGAAACTTTTTGCGTCTGTCCTTATTTTTTTCATCAAAAGTTGCAGATTGAATAATCCCACAACCCTTCTCCTCGAACTTCCTTTTTGTGGCCCCGAACTTTACTTTATCCAAACTCAAATCCTTGTTTCCACTTTTTTCATCAATTTTATGCTTCGCATCTTCAGTTTCGGTTTTTTTCTGATTCTTTTTGCCTCCGCCATTATTTTCTTCATCAAAAGTCGCAGATTGAGTAATCCCACAACCCTTCTCCTTGGCGCCAATTTGTACCCTTTTTTTCACCTTCTTGACATCAATATTCGTCTCCTTGAACTTTACTTCATCCAAACTCAAACCCTCGTTTCCACTTCTTGCTTCAATTTTATGCTTTGGATCTTCAGTTTCAATCTTTCTCTGAAACATTTTGCCCCCGTCTTTGTTTTCCCCATTAAGAACCACGGATTGAATATCCCCACAACCCTTTTCCTTGTTGCCAAGATTTATGGGTTTCGTTGGTGCCGACGTAACTCCATCAAATTGATCATCAAGATCTTCATCCAGGAGACTCTGGCAACTGAAATTCGAAGTCGAAGAAATCGAGCAATCTTGATCAATATCGTCCATGGGAGATGCCATTAGAAGGGCTTCGATAATTCGAGATCTTCTCGCTAGAAACTCCTTTGGTTTCTCCTTGGCAGCCACCGCAATTGATGCGTTGATAAAATCAAAAATATTTTCCATTGCTTGATCGTTAACTGAATATGTGTTTTGATACAACTTTCTCAGATCAATACCTATACCCATCTTGAAAATCACAGATTTTTAAACAATGAGACTGTTTTTGTGAATGTTAACGTTCAGTGTATTCTTCGTATTTATAACGTTGTACAAGAAATCAGGAATGATCAAGTGTTTAACTTCTGGGCGGGAAACTTTGGGCGGGAATTTAGTAATTAATGAACCCAGTTGTTTCCTTAACTAAACTAGCCGTTGGTCCCTAACTAAACTAGCTGTTGTTTTGACTTTGTTTACCATTTTGAATGTGCGTTTATTCAGTACTTAGGTTAATTGTAAAATCTTTTAACAATTTTATTAATTTGTCGAATTCTACATATATTTCTCCCCAAATTCAAATTATATTAAATGATGATGTGTTTTTAGAAATATATATTTATATGAAATATTTAATCTTTTTTAAAATTCAAGAGTCAAATTAATTTTTTTATTTAGAGATTTTATCAGAATAAAATGATTATGAAAAATGATAAACAGTTTTTGAAAAAAATAAATAAATTGAAGAGTCGATAGTGTAAAAGGTGTACATAATCATTGCCATCTCCAGTTATGAAGAAAAATGAGCCCATAACATAACTCAATCCAAATCCGATCTAAACTATCTTAAATTGAGAACCTAAACTGAACTTGAGCCAAAACTCAATTCAAAGCCCATCAAAACTCAAACCGCAGAAATCCAAACCCAGCACAATGCCCAAAACCAGAACCCAAGCCTAACAAAATCCAAATCTTACTGAAAAGAACCAAAACCAAACTCGAGCCCAAACTCAATTCCAAGCCAAATACAACCCCAACCCCAACCCCAACCCAATCCAATTTCATGTGGAAAACACATCTCCAGGCCCACAAAACAAAAAAACATATTTAGGCCCCGTTTGAGCCACATTAATGTAGGAATGAAAATGAAAAATATAATCATTACGGGCTCCACATAATAGACAGAAAGTCAAATATGGTGATTTGATATGATAGATAATGATCATATTTTTCATTTTAATGGGCAAATCATGGAAAACAAACAGGGGTTAATTCTTTGATACAATCCTCATATTTCTATTTAACTCTCATGTTCAGATCATTTATTCAACAATGACAACTTACCGGTTAAATCAATAACTCAATGATTCAGTGTATTTACTACATCAATATCAAGTCAAGTTTGAAAACTATGACTAAATAATGAACACAAATTTTATGCTATTGGACTTCTAAATATAAAATCTAAGCTAAGGTTTGGTATATATTTTTTAAAATTCATTTTTTTGACAAACTTATTTTCAATCACATATTCTCTCAATAAAATAATTTTACACTTGGACTCATAAATTTTCCTTAATTTTTAACTACATACTCTCCAAAATTATCACTTTTCACAAAATCTATTATTAAAAAATCTACTTCAATCTGACCCTAGAACCAAACTCTACTTTTCCGACAAAAAAATAATTACTAATTTTTACTTGAAATTTTAATTTAATGTTATGTAAATCCAAATCAAACGAGTTGAGTTATGTAATTTTATTGCAGCCTAGTGTTACCCCCTAGATGGTTGCAATTAGGGGTGTTAATGAGTCCAGCCGGCTTGTGAGCCAAAATTCAGAGCCCAAGCTTTTTTAAGACGGACTTTTTTTGGCCTTTTGCTCAACTAAAAAAATAAGGCTTGACCTGAGCTTTTGGCTCGGATCTTACCGAGCCAAACTAGGCCAAGCTCGAATTTTTTGATTTTTTTCCCTAAAAATGATGCATGTTTGGCAGCCAAGCGGCTAATCCGCTACAGCTGCCGGTTAAGGCATCAAATTTTTAATCCCCTTTTTTTCTTTCTTTTTTCTTTTTTTATACTAGTTGGCCCGACACGAACCAACTCTCCAAAATGGGGCTCGGTGCCTCTGAGCCTCGAGCCGGGCCTGCTCGGACTTTTTCTCTCTGGGCCGAGTCATGCGCGGTCCAACCGGACGAGCCCGATTGCCATCCCTAATCACAATTGCTAAAATGTCTAAGAAATGAGCAGTGCTTTTCTCCCATGTCGAAGCCATGATAGAGATGTATTCAGTAAAGTACATTTTTTGGAATATTCGATGCAAGGCAGCACTGTCGATAATCGTTCTAGAGTGGTTGGATTGGTAGCGCATGAACGATGGCATGACATGGAAGGAGCCCGACATGAAAGACAGTTAGCTGAGTTAGCCTTTGGCCAAACGTAGCCTAGCAGATTCGTGGCATGCATGCCTGAGAAACAATTGGTAGATGTGTTCAAAGCTAGCTAGATGGGATTTTACTGGGGCGGTTACTTTCGGTGGTTATATGTCAAGGATTTGACATAAGTAAAGCGGTTTTTACTGACAGGGTTGGTTACTTGTTATGTTTTATGAGTGCGTTCTGTTATTACGTTAATAAAAGTTGGGAAGTATTTTCCTATATTTCGTGTGTTCGTTCCTATATGCTGTCCCTGTCATAAAATGTTGTAATTCTTCATGGATAAAATTATTTGTACAAAATTTGGTTGACAAAATTGTTTACTCACTCT